AACAAGAAATTATATTTTTTCCTTCGCTGCATGACAAAAGCCAAGAAAATTGATTATGCAAAAATGAGTTAATTTTTTACTTCAGGGGACAAAACGAAACCAAATACAACAGAATTTCCACTCTTTTACTATAACAGACAACATTTGATAAAACACCGGAAAATAACGGCAAAAGACATGTGTAAACAACCAATTTAAAAAGAAGAAATCAGATAATTTCTTCACTGTGCGACGAAATAATACAGTGCAGCGAAAGAAATATGAAAGTTGTATATCAAAAAGATGACAAAAACAAGCCAATTATTTTGAGATAAATCGTATTTCAAATGTGTTAATTTAGTTCCCACTTAGTTCGTTTCTCGGGAGTTCTGTAGTAGCTGTTTAGACTGAATAAAAATATATTTGAACAAAGCGAATAAACTAAACAAACAAATCACAGGGGTCACCGTAAATTAAATATGCAGAAATCCAGCGTGCAAAAATACTGTTCACTTTTAAAGCCTAAAATTTGCAAATAAAGGCAACCAAATGAAAGAAACGTGACAGGAAGTTCAATAACAATAAATTTTCATTCAAGATGAGGCAAAAAAATTATCTAAAGGCATAAAAATGTTCAAAATTTCGCAGACGTGCTTCGCTGCATGACCACATGTTCAGATTAATTCTTCATGCTAAAGCGAAAGGTTGAGATTTTGCTGACAAGTTTTGCAGTTATTTTACCAGCCATTGCTTAACCAATTGTTCTAAAAGTTGAATTCAACTTTGAAGTTATACTGTACATTACCATTGTTGTTTTCTTAAGTCCAGGAAGCGGCCTTAAATCCGCAATCTGTATTCAAAACTCACTTGAAAGCGCACCAGAAAGGTTTGAGGACTGTGAACACCTTGATCTCCCATTCTGAGGCCACCTAAACATCGATTTATGTTTTTCTTTCCATTTTAAGTGCCAAAGAAGTAATTTCTCCATTTTAGGAATGAAAACAAGACCCTGGAAGTTTGTAGATTTGACCCGCAACGCGCCATGATTACCTGCACTTTTTGAGTGCATGATTTTAAGATGAAAAACCATCTTTCTAGGACCTCTAAGGTCTTCTAAAAATATGCTCAGAAAGTCGATTATGATTGGTTTATTTGTCCTTAACAACAACAGAACAATAGGAGAACCAAAACGTCTTCAGAGAGGGTAGGAAAGGCAATTGTCCTCACGTGCTTTTTTACGGCCGGTTATGGTTGGCACAGGAAATTGGGGGTGGGTTTTTGCACGACCTGTTATGGCCGGCACAGGAGTCAATAGGTTAAGAACCAAACTGAAGTTTATTTCTTTTTTTGGTAATCATCATCTATATCTCCTTTATAGAAATTAAGAACCTAATTAAGAACCTACCTAGCCTAAATTGCCAATAACTACCCCAAAATACAAGAACCTATTTTGCCAGACTTCAAAAAATGTAGGTTCTTACACGCGGGTTTTTACTCTACGATCAACATTTAAAGGTAACATTTACCAGACTGTAGCATTTTCACAAAAATGCCAGAAAATTCCATCTGAGTTCAGTCTTTGAGTTTGAAGCCACATTTTAGTGTCTGTCGTGAGATTGAAGAACTTCAAACATGTTGTGGGCCAGCACAGGAATCAACTGCAGTTATATTTCTGGGAAAAAAAGGCTTATTACTGATAAATATTGAGAGGGGTGGTATCAGGTGATCAAGGTCCTAGTTAGACAAGAAATGTAATTCATGTTTTCTAGGTGTCAGAGTTACAGAATGCTGGCAGACAAATGCTGTTAGTCACCAGTGGAGCAGTGGCATTTGGAAAACAGAAGCTTAGACATGAAATTCTTCTCTCTCAGAGTGTTCGTCAAACACTTAAACCACAAGACTTCCTGAAGGTACACTAATTTGAAGTTCTTTTTATACTATTTTCCACAAGTTGTTCACAATCTTTCTTATGCTGGATGTTACAATTAAGTCAGTTATGTTGGTGAAACCACCAGACACTTTTCAATGCATTTTTTTATGTGAACATGTAGCACTTGTTCTTGGACATGAAAAATTCTTAACATGTTAATTCAAAGCGGCTACATGTGCACTTGTAGTTTAAGCAGTTTTGGAGAAAAACATACATTCACTGTTGGGCTATTCTGTGATATGCCGGTTCATGAAAATTTAATGATTTGAATCCTGCTAATTTTGACTTGATATGTACAAAACAACACTGTTTATTTGCAAATCACTCCTGACCTCAGATTTCTGAAATAAAAGGGCAAAATAAGTGCGTATGTCAGAAATTGAACTTGATATCAGGTTACAATATTTGTGTGATCACTAAGTGTAAAATAATTTGATGGCTTCAAGTGTTGTTAGAAATCTTGTGCATGGTTTCTGGAAAATTAAATGGTGTGAATGCTTGCTTTCTACATATATTATTGGATGAAAGATTTCAATATCAAGCATTCATCTGAAGTGAAAAGCTGCAAATAATGTAATGAGTAGTTGAGTAATGCTTGATAACTATACTTATAAATAAAGTAACATTCTGGATCATGGCAGACAGGGTGAAAGAACTTGCAACAAGTGAGTTGACCTTTTGAGGCACTGATTTGATGTCAACTAGTTTAATTTTTTCTGTCAACATCAAGATCAGTAAGACTTATTTACACTGCTAGCAGTACAATAAAGTTGCATAGTGGATAATCAAATTTTTAGAAGTGCTTGTTTCTATGTGCCTTGATTTGAATTTTGAGCAAAAGTGAAGAACAGTTCCCTGAAAAAGCTGCTGGTTGTCTGTCAGTTTACCAACATATAGGCCTACAGGTGCCATCAGTTAGGCAAGTGAGATTTCTGTAGTGACGCTACCTCTCCAGGTGTATAGTTCAGTTGAGTAAGGTAGAGTCCTAATCTTAACAGATTTCATTTGCCACTTAGTATTTTTGTGTAAAATTAAAGTTCATCAGTAAACTGGTAATTAACAAATAAAGAAGCCTCAACTGTGCTCTGGTTCTGTTGTAAAGCATGCAGGAAGCGGTAGAGCATGAAAGAAGTGTAGGGGGAACAAGAGACATAGTCGAGTGCTTCTGCTTCCTAAGTGCTTTACAACAGAACAGAGCACAGTCAATTTCCACAACATTCAGCAAATATTTTCATACCAAACTTTATTTTCCAAACCAGGAAAAGTGGTGTCAACGTGCATCTGTTCTCTAATAAGTCATGCTAAAATAAGCCAATAACAATCCTTGTTAGAATTGTTCAAATAACTTGATTGGCTAATGAGACAACAGCTGTCAATCACAAACTGGACATCAGCAAAGCTTTTGGTTTCGAGTTGCTTTTGAGTGAAGTGCGATTGCTTCAAAGTTCGTGTTAGTTTGATTTCAAACTAAGAATATAAGTGTTTCTTGTCCAGAGGAATCTGACCACACTGTGGCTCATGAAAATGTGTACTTTTCTGGTGGAAATTACAAAGGAAAGAGCTCAAAGCTTGCAGATGAAAATGCAAAAATTACCTATCAGACTAACCCGCCACAGATTTCTTTTATCGATGAAGTATTTTTTAAATTTATTGAGCCAAAAAGGCAGAGCATGTAAATTGGCCTTGACAGCCAGGGATGCCTGAATACTTGCCACTTAGAAATGTTGTTTACTTTGATTTGAAATATAAAGAAAGAATAGGTTGATTGTACATCAGTCCTATCCATATCTGGACAATTACCAATAACAAGTCCTGCTAACGTACATGTACATTAGTGTAGCGGCTAACAGCTTCAGTTGTTCACTTGGTGATACAAGCATGAAATTTGGCAAGAACATTCTAAATTGTCTATTTCATTCTAGTCGATTAGCCACTTGAAATTCGCTTTAACAAGAGTTTTTTTTTCAAAATGGCTAACAATGGGTGCGATGTGTTAAAATGGCGGCCATTTTAAATTATATCTTTACTTCCAACCCATCTTGAAGCAACATTTGAGCAGTTTATTACTCCCTTATTACAACGTTTTACTGCCAGCATCCTTTAAATACAATTGATTATTCCATACATCTTCCAGTTTCCGAAAATGGAAAAACAATTCTAAAGAATTCTTTCTTTAACTGGCACTGATCTCATAGCACTGTTCAGGTTACATTATGTGCCTATCCGGTATTTAGTACGGTAATACAATACGCCCAGCAGTTTCTTAGCTGGGTAATTCCCAAACAATTTTTTAAAATAATCTCTGATCTCGTATAAGTTTCAAATACACAAGTTACATTACATGCGTACTTCAACCGAATTCTGATATTCAGGTCGGCAATTCATTACTCCCGGCAGTTTCTAGCTGGCTAATTCAAAATCACTTTTTAAAACAAGCTTTTGATCTTGTAACAGTGTCAAATAGTGCTGCTATACAATTTACATTGTTTACCTGCCTACTATAGTCGATGACTAGATCGAGCTACTATTCACACAAACAGCTACACAAAGCTGTACAGTTCAGCCCAGAGCGAAGACATTTGCACCTCCCACAACAGTCCTTCCAGCAGCCACATCTGGTTAGTTCTTGACAACTTGCAGCAACTGATGGAATGTCAGTCCAAAGTATCTTCCATGTGCTGCCTTGCTTACTCCTTCCCCAGTCAGCTGGACTTTTTGTGACAGGTCGAGGGAGAGTGGCTTGTCCCCAGATAATTCCTCCTTGGTAGGCAGCACACTTTGAATGTAGCTTGAGGGCAGACTGAGTAGGTGGTATTGCAACATACGGCCTCTGTTTGCGAGGGAAGACATTCAGTCTTGCATCATTCACACTTGTATCTGCACTGAACCTGTCATACATGACCACAACAAACTGCTCTAGACTCTAGAGATCAGCGTTGTCAAGAGCTGTCACACACTGACTGAGTTTGGTGAAGGTGGTCGAGACCCCTTTACACTCATTCCATGTTTGCCTTGCAGACTTCTTTCCTTTGCCATGCTGAATGCGTGAAAGAATGGGAGTCCACTGACTTTCTCTGGATCAATTGTGTTTACCGCTTCATGCACTGGAATCGATCAAAAATATCCTCCCTGGCCAAATGCAATCCACATTTTACTACCACATCTGTGTCGTTTGCCTTAACCATTAAAGCCTTACTGCCGTCCATTGCCGCATGTCGTGTGTGCCCAAAAATATGTGGGTCTGCCTCTTCATGCGTACATGGCGCTAAATCTTCTAATGCAATTACGTGATTGTAACAGACATATTCCAAGCACAGCATGTTTGCTTCGGACAAGCGGTCTGCAAGAAAATGGAAAAGTTCAGTCTTGTTGTTGTTATCTCTCCGAAAACTTTTCCAATTTTGGGGGGTCTTGCTGGTTGGTGTAACCCTTCTTCGTATCCCTTTGTCCCTTTTGGATTGTGCCTCTACTTTCAGGCTGGACTCCTCATACACATCAAACACAATGTCAACGTTTTGGTATGTGGTAGAATTTGATCTAACTCTTGGAAGGATGTCCTCATTGGCGTAGTTATCAAATGTTTTTGACGTACGTGGGGGTTGGGAGTTGACAAGAGCTGATCCATCTAATGATGATTGCATCTGCCTCTGGTTCTGCGTTTGGCATCAAAGCCTTAGACTCAAGTATCTCAACCAGTTACAATTTCTGGCATGTGTGAAGTTTTCCACTGTCACTGAGGGAAGCTGGAGCTGACTGGTTTTCATGCTGGAAGAGTTCATGCAAATCACACTGTCTGCTTTGACATGAAATGAAGAGTTGGGAAAATAGGCGACAGTCCTCTTTCAGTGTCTTCTTCTTGGAACTGGCAGCACTGGAAATTTCCTCTTGCTTGAAGAAAGTGATCTTGTTCTTTTTGATTGGTTGATAAAACAAAGTCTGCTCTTCTTTCTTCAGTCCTTCAATGAAGGATTGGAACTGATCTTTGCCTCTGTAATGGTGAGTAGCAACAAGTCTTGAATTAGCTGGATCGGCAATGTCCTTTGTGTCTAATACGAAGAGGTCTGCAGACTCTTCGTCAAAAAGATTGCCCATTTCTTTAATTACTTTGAACAGCTTTTCCACTCTCTCAAAGACTGCTACTTGAGCACTTTCGCTTTGTTCGTGATGCATGCTACTGATTGTTGTGTCTTTAGTTCCCGCAACTTTTTCGTAGCGAGTGACTAGATGGCTCACCTCTGGTCCAGCTATCACCAACCTCCGGAGTGCTGCAGGCTCCTCCATCATCCTTGATGACTGCATTGTTTTGTTTGTGGGCTTGGTCGATTGCAATTGACGTGAATTCTTTGCAAGATTTGTGCATGACCAAATGTCCTTTGAAGAACTATCTTGCTACTTCTGGATGCTGTTGATCGATGGTCATCATATCTCTGAGGTGAATTGAAAGCCACCACGCATAATTCACATTGTTGTTTGCAAAGAAACAGGGCCTTAGTTCCACCAGCGCCTAACGATACAGGCAAAAGTCGGCTTCTCTGAATGAACGAACCATTGTTAGAATGGTTAGCTCTAGTGCTAAAACAAGATCCCAAAATGCGAACTGTGGACTTTCGAGTCTTTGTTTCTTACACCAATCTTTGAAATCAAGAACACCTTGTGGACTTCGAGATGTATCTCTGCTATAGCTGTTAAATGCAGCTTTCCTCTGCTTGTATAGACAACATGCTGTGATTTGATGTGCTTGACGAGATCTGGTAACACCTGAGGTTGACAGATAAGATTCTGCAGTACCAGATGAGGCAACTCCTGCCTCAACAAAAGCACTTGTCCAACTACTGTTCTAGGCCTGAAGTAAAGACCCTATCGATTTCAGAGCAGCCATTTCCTATGTGAAGACCTATCTTTAAGATGAATTGTCTGAGAAGTTTAAAGTGCAAAAATCTGTAAAATACGTCAAACTTTCGCCCCAAACACAAGTAATATATGAGGGTTAGAACTAAAATCTGTTATCGTAATAACCTAAATACAAAATTCTAAAATACTTGCAGACATGCTCCACTGGCCAAGATAATGGCTGCTCCTTTTGCAACTCTTGATAACCTGCAGATGCTTTCGCCAGCAGTCTTTCCTATGTTAGTTGCCAGGTCTACTTAGCTATAGTATTTGAGTATTTGTTTAGTTTCTTTTGCTCAACAATGAACTTTTGTACTGCTACATCATCAACTTCTCCTGTATAAGGCTGTGAATTAACTCTATACCTAAAGTCAATGGCGGCCATGTTGAGATAAGGACCACCTATTTTGTAAATTGTTAGAAAAAGTGTTATATCACCGAAGTGGCTAGTCGATCAGAATGAAAGAATACTTAATTTAGAACGTTTCTGTCAAATTTCATGGTTGTATCACTAAGTGAACAATTTTGCCAAAAAAATGATGTTAGCCGCTACACTACATGTAATTGAATGTGATTGGTCGTTCGGAATAGCGAAATCCGATATCCGCATGTAGATAACAATAAGTCTCAAATGTGTTGCAGTTTCTTTTCAATTTTACTAATAGGATTCATCATTAATTTAAGGACAGTCTTTCCTTTCACATGATTTTTGTGAACTTCAGATACCATTGAAAACAGTGCTACAGTAAATAATAAAGCTTTAATTTTAATTGTTGAGTAAACATGACACATGCAGACAGGTAAAGACGCTTGCATTGTCAATTTTCTTTTAGCTTGTTCACGTATGTAAAAACTGTATACCCTTTTTTCTTCTATTTAAAATCTATTACGTAATGCTTAGCTTTCCAACAATAAAATTTGCAGCTTTCACAAAACTCGTAGATGCCAATATGGAATGTAGTTAATGAAAGATGTTGATTTCACTTCGCATCCAAAAGTCGCTACATATTTCACAAGAAGAGCGTTCACTGTTCCAAAGGCTACATGCATGAAAAGGAGAAATATAGTTTGGTATTTGACGTTCATTCCACTCAATTGATGAGTATGAAATTTTTTTTTTTTGTATTTTATTGTTTTTATTTGTAAGTTGTGCAGTGGACAAGCAAAGAGATACTATAATGCTAGTTATACAATTTTACATTAAAAAGGGATACACACAAAAAGAAAAAAAAAAAAGAAAGAAAAAGGGAGGTACAGAAGCCTATTACAATGTAAATAGATCTCTACATACACCATCACAAAACAATCATAAACTAAATTAGCTGAAGCAAGGTAGAAATTTGTTCCATTTTTTATAATGTATTACCAATTTATTGCTGTTAGCTGCAATTTTCTGTTCAATCTGGCAAGTTGCTTTAACCTTGGCTATGAAGACCTTTAGAGAAGGATGTATGAGTATGAAAATTAAAACAAAGAGGAATTTAGATATCTTAGTTGCTAGCCTGGCGACCAAGTGTGAAAAGTTAGTTGCCAGTAAAAAAATTCTACTTGGGTTTCTTAAATACCTAGAACATACTTGGAACACCCCAGAACACCAAGAAAGAATAACTAGATTGGATGATGGATGTGTGGATGTTGAAAGAAACAGTTTCTTTAGTCTTATTTAGTGCTTGAATATTCTTACTCTTGTTTGTTAATGTTCATGTCCTTTTGAATTTGTTGTTAGTCAAGACCATATAGATGTAGAAGATAATTATTCTTCGTAGTCTTGTGTTTTATTTCATGTCCTTTTGAATTTGTTGTTGGTCAAGACCATACATAAAATGTTCTTCATAGACTTGTGTATTAACATTCATGACATTTTGAATTCTTTGTTAGTCACGACCATATATTGAGCCACGTGCATGTGCTGCTGTGGGACAGGGAGGCTTACTGTCACTCTATGAAGCAATGTTCCAACAATATGGTCTTACATGTGGACAGGTATGTAGAACATGGCAAGCCTTCCCTCCTAATGAAATATGCTGTTTGTAGTTTTCAGTTGCCTGCTTAGCAAGCATTCCTGTACAAAGAGCTTTTTCCACATTCTGGCCATGTGCAGAATGCGGAATGGGAATGCTGGCTATGCAGGCTAGGCCTTGCGCAATTTTCTGATTCTTGCTGTGAATATAACCATTATTATTATTATTAGTTTATTTATTTATTTATTTATTTTTAATTGATAACTTATATGCATTCAATACTCACATACTTACTTTACAAATTACATTTACACCACTCACATTGTAATACTTGATTTAAAGTACACTATAAATTACATTCCTTGCAATACTAGTCACTTACAATTTCATACCTTATATTTATTGCCTACTCTAGAGGTTACTTTCACCAATAAATGTACAATATTTTACTTATAATTAAATACTTATATTGCTCAATTTTTTCCCGTATTAATTAATTTTCTTTTTTATTTATTATGTTCTGTTGCACAGCAAACAAACAAACAAACAAAACAAATAACAAAATTAACATGTACAATTAACTGGGGCCATGACTCCGACTTTACACTCCTATTTACATCGCTACTAGCTATACAAAAATTGGTCAAGAGTTTACTTACATTTAAGATTGGCTATAAATTCATGCCTGCCATGCAAGGATATTAATTGGCAGATCAAACAAGGAGAAGATTATGCAATAATTGGATTGTACAAAAAAACACAGCAACAGCAGAAAAAAAGAGGGACAAAAAGGGAAGACAAATGACTAAGTTGACATGTATTATTGGCTCTGTGACCAGTGCTTTACATTCCTATCAACATCATTACTACAGCTACACAAATAATTTTTCGAAAACATATTTATGCTTAAGATTAACTATAAATTCATTTACCGATAACTCGCCATGTATTAATTTCTGATTGTATAAATAATATTTGGCAAATAAAAAGGTGAAGTTTAACTTCCTGATAATGGTTGATTCCTCGCTTGAAGTATCAACTTTCATACCAAAAATTGATTCAGTTGGTAAAAGACTGAAGGAGGTGACATTTTCTTTGTTGAACCATTTTATGATCTCTAAAAAGAAAAATTGGCTCCAGTTACAGCTATGGAAAGTGTGAATTATGGAATCATTCATTTCACAATATAGAGACTTTGTGTCCTCTGCCTTACCAACCTTACCAACCTTACCACCTTTTTGGTGACTACTATTCGATGTAAAAGTTTGAGATAAAATTCTCTGAGTTTGTTATCTTAACATACGCGTTTCACGTGACTAAAAATAGGTTTCCGAGATGTTTGATCAATTTACAGGTCTCTTTCCCATTTAGAATTAGCATTCAGTTCAATTGGTTCTTTGTTTATGAGGAGCCGATAATTTTCTCTATTTTTCATTTTAGTTAAATTTATGGAGATCTGTAGGGAAAGCTGTAACATACTATTTAACAGCAGATCTGATCTGTTCGTGGGGTTTGCCCTTGCACTTTCTGCAAAGTGTCTAAGAATAGCAGAAACTACTTGAAAATAGATGAGAAAGTTGCATCTACTGGTAAGATCATATTTGTGGATGAATTCTGAGTAAGAAAGAAATTTCCCATCTGCTTTGAGAAGGTCATGTACCAGATAGATGCTGCGATCAAACCAGTTCCTGTAAAAAATACTTTGACTGTGGATTAAAATATCTTTGTTGTTGAATAAAATTTGTTCTTGGTCGCACTGGTTTGGAAAAGATTCTGACTTTTAATTCCAAGAAATACAAGAGACCAATTTGTAGAACTGAGATAGCTCCATCTTGTTGAGAAATTTCTTGTCATGATTGCATTGTAATATTAATTTTAGACCTCTGTATTTTTCGACAATATAGTTAGGAAGCGCCTTCAAGATTCACTGCTCTTATGTTCATCAGCTAACAGTCTGGAGATCCAAGCTAACTTCAACTATTTTGATAAAACATCTATGCTAGGTGCTCATTAGACCTCCTGAGCCATAATCTAAAATCATCACTTAACGTTTAATTTTGTACTTTTTATTTTCCCAAATGAATTTAAATGTGGCCGAATTCACAGCGCCAAGGTATTCGAGAGGAACATCAAGGCTGGGGATTGAGTGTACAAGTTGCGAGATGCCAAGACTTTTAGTTATTAGGCACCTTCCAAATAATGTAAGACTCCGACAGTTCCATATGTCAAGGATGGTCTTCAATTTTTGCAATTTTAACTTAAGTTGTATTTTTCATTATCTTTCTCATTATAAGAGATAAAAGTGCCCAGCATGCAAATTGGTTTTTCTGGCCATTGAAATCCAAAGGGTTTGTCATGTCTATGTTTCCACTATCCCAGCCACAGAGCTTTAGTTTTCAACGGGTTCAATTTCAGGCCAGAAATATCACCAAAATTGTCCAATACAGCGATTGCCTTGTTAACTGAATTGCAGTTGCTGTTAAAAAGAGTGGTATCATCAGCAAACTGGCTTAATTTTAATTTCTTACTGAAAATGTTTATACCTTGAATGTCTTTATCTTGCCTGATTTTCCATGCTAGTAATTCTGTGGCCAAGATAAATAGACAAGAAGACAGAGTGCAAGCTTGTCTCACCCCTCTTGACAAGCAAAAATAGTTTGTGCAGAAACCATTGTTTAAAACTGCACTTTCCGTGTTGACATAAAACATGGAAATCCAGCGTTGAATGCTTTCCCCAAAATTAAATAGCACAATGGTTCTTTGTAAGAATTCCCATTTGATTGTATTGAAAGCTTTTGAAAATCAGGCTGTAAAAGTACACCAGAAATGTTGCGAAGCTCTGTTCAAGAATTTCTTTAATCAGCCTAATGTTTTGTCTGATGTATCTACCTTTTATGAAACCTGTTTGGTCAGGGTTGATTAAAAGAGTTAAGACTTTTTCCAATCTCTTGGTAATAGCTTTTGATGCAATTTTATAGTCTACGTCGGGCACCAATTAGCAAGGGTGGAGAGGTCAAAGTCTTGTTCAGGTATAAGTGTAAATTATGCCTCTTCGTTGTGAGGGTGCCATTTCACCCGCTCTGTACAAAGTGTTTAATTTGTCAACAAGATCCTGAGCCAATAAATCAAAAAAAGCACTGTTGTAAAATTCCCAAGTAGATCCATCCTTGTCTGGTGATTTACCTGTACTAAATGTGCATAAAATACCTTTACGCTCCTTAAGAGTGATTTCTTCTTCTAACTCACTACTCACCAACTCTTCAAGTCTGGGTGGTTCTAAATTTTCAAATAAACTTATGAATGGCGCATTTTCAACGCTAGCTGATAGAAGTATAGAGCTCTTTATTAAATACTTCAATTTCCTCTAGTATTTGTTCTTCTTTGGTCACTGACTAACCCTCTGGATGCTTCAACTCCTTTATTGTTTTATGATTGTAATTTTGTTTCTCTAGGTTGAAGAAATATAATTTAAGAGAAGCCTTGTGTGGTTTCTGTTGATATTGCAGGTACTAATAACAAAGCAAGATGTGCATGATAAATACTCGCTGGATAACTTACGATCAACAGTGGAAGAGTTAATCTCTATGAACTGCATTCCCATTATAAATGAGAATGATGTTGTAGCATCACCTCCTGATTTGGATTTAGATTTGGCAGGGGTAAGTGAATGTAATAATGTAATCTACACTGTTATACAGCTGGAGTTCTCCCACTATTAGCTGGTTTCTTGGTTATGTGACACAGACTAAATTTAAGCGCATTTTGCAAGAGATGTGCCAGACAGACAGTCAGTAGAGTACAAAGTAAAGTCTGCTGACTGGCAGACTGCTGACCAGGGGCACTTTCCGCTCAACAAAAAATTCGGTTTGAATTTCCATAAATTTCCAGTGACAAATGGAACAGTATTTTCCAGAATTAGTGAAAAAGAGCCAGGACAACCTTGCAAGATTTACCAACTTTTTTGGAAATTTTGTACCTCAAATTTTCGTTCCATTTTACTAGCCTCCCAGAATTTTTGGTTGAATGGTTTGCTTTTCGGAAATTCAACAATTTCCTGATTTCTGGAAACTTTCCAAGTCAATTTCTGTACCATTTGCCCCAGTTTTAAATTTTTGGGATTTTTTGGTTGAATGGAAAGTACCCCGAGTACAAAATGCAGACAGTTACTGGGTACAGAATGCAGACTAGGAATAAAAAACTGTCATGTGGCCAGGTCGCAGTAGTCTCCTCCACAGCCGTTTTTTTGGATGTCATGCAATGCTCCCCCCAAAGAAACGGCTGCTCACATCCAAACAACATTCCTTTCACGAAATTAGCCAATCACCGCTTCCATTCCATTTTCAAGAACGTTTTCATGCCAAATTTGCCCTTTGAAACTTGTCCAATCAGAGAATGTTTTTTATCTTTGTATCCCATTGTGGGAGATGTCACAAATGAACGTACAGATTTCCAGATTTTGTTTAGGGACGCCGGAAAATACCGGCAATGCTTGAACAAGCTTTCAATAGCTGAAGACTATTCAAAGTTTTAGCTCATTGAGAGAAGCTTTCAAGTCAAAAAATTATTGTCGAGAAGGACGATATCTATTTCAACTTAATAAAGCAACCAGGAAATCAAGTAGCTTCGCTCGATTTGTTGACAGCGAGTTCTGAATGCCGCTCTTTCCTCCTAATTACAATCTGTAGGAAGCGTTTAGCCCTTGATTGACGCTTACAATACGACATTTCCAGAAAATATATATTCTCTCATTAGCTGAACATAGCGATGAGCACATGAAGCACTTGTACTTAGGGCTTTCATTGACATTTTTTCCAGTCTGTCATGATCGTAGCCTGCGAACACCGCCTACATTTTGGCAATGTGCGGCGTGAAACAAAAGCCAGAAATCCTTCGTGTGTTCGCACTGCAGACCTTTTCGTGCGAAAGCTTACGTCATTCACACTTTGCTATTATGTGATTGGTCCGTTCAACAGAGCGCGAGCAAACCACAAACAAAAGGAAAAGGATGTGGTTTGGATGTGAGCAGCCGTTTCTTTGGGGGGAATGTTGCATGACATCCCAAAAAACGGCTGCGGAGGAGACTAAGGTTGCAGTTGCTCTTAAATAGAATTTCAAGCCTTCAAAGTCTTCTCACTTCATGTGCGAGATGTCAAACTTTTAAATAACACAAAATATAGAAGAAACAACTGAGTGACAACACGGGTTTGCACATGGTGTGTTCTCTTTACCTTTTTAACTGATATGTCAGTGAGGGCTAGTTTTCATTTTGTTGACTTAAAGCAGTATAAGACCAAAGCTGTTTCTTTGTCCTGTTATATTTTCAATATTCGAGGGTTAACACAGGGTTTTCAAATTGAAATACAGTTGCAGGATTGGGTGTCGATAAAGGTGGCGTTGTGGGGAAGAGTGCCAGAGTGTGGTACCCCCTCCTACGTGGGGGGGGGGGGGATGGGGTGCTGGCCTTGGACAATTTTGACAATCTGTTTGCCTTAATATGCATTATGGTACATTTTGAGCACCTGAATGTGATATTGTTGGAGACCAATGTGCACTTAACAAAAGTTTATTGAAAACTCACTCATTGTGAGATAAATTTTTTCACAAGTTAGTTCATGTATTAAATGCTACATTATACTTTTCATTCCACTGATACTTGTTACACGACAGTATCATGTTTGGCTTGGACTTCTAACTGTAATAACATGAATCAACTGTAATTTTATTATTATTACTTCAATTATGCAGCTTCGAGAAAAAAAAAGTATCAATATCAAGATCGTTTTTATTAGTTTTCGTAATGAAAAAGAGCTGCTGATAAATAAGGTCCATTATGGTGAAAAGATTAAGGCAACTTCTGGTGATATCTCTCCTGTCGCACACATGAGGTACCAGTGTAAAATCATTGATCTATTTTTTTTTTTGCTTTGATTGATTGTATAAATTCCGAAAACTCTTGTTGTTGAAAGGCTTGCAACACCCTTCAAATTGTTACTTAGAATATATTTGGTGCACTTTGACCTTAATGAATAACATTTCCCAAGGAAGATTGCCTTCACATTCTCCACACAGATGCATAGAGGGCTAAGGTCAATATGTGGTCAATTCAGGTTAATTGTAAGCTGATTATTTTATAGTTGCTTTCAAAACTGCTCAGCACATAATAGTTATTTACCTTTTTGCCTTAATGACTTCTTGACATTGGCAATAAAGACAGCATACATGTAGTCTGTTGCCTCTGCTTCATTGTGGAAAATTTGCACTTACCAACAAATCTGATACATATATGATATGGAACTTACATGAGGTCCAATTGGAGAAATATTGGTCAAGTTCTTTTTTTTGGAAGGTTAATTGGACTTAAACTTGCAAATAAAATGAGTCCAATATCCTCCAACACGGACTTAATGAGCTACATGTAGGTCAATATAATATTTATTATAATGGCTCTTTATGATCTGCTGATACGTTTATGCATCTCCACAATCCATTCTCGAAATATGCACACGTGAAAGGCATAAATATATATGCTATTTTTTTTCTACAGGATTGCTTTAAAAGCAAAGTTTGTGTCGAAGTTTTATTAAAGACATTCAATTCAAATCTGGTGTATATGTGTGCATTTGACATTTCGGGCACAGGAATTGCCAATTGTTGCTCCTGAGAAAAAGCCTTTGTTCTTCAAACTTGATGCTTCTTGCCCTTGAAATGGCAATTCGGTTGTTTTGGGTACTTGAATCTCTGAGTTGCCCTTAGAGTCAGTAGTGGTGGACCCAATTAAGAACCATTCACATTCGTCGCTGATGTCTTTGAGATGCTGACTTGTATGCATCTAAACTTATGAGGTTTGTATGACCGCTGAGTTGGGCTACATAATTGTCTGCGAGGTTAGCATCCATTAAGTGGGATATGCAAGTTTTCCTTAGGGAGTGGTTACTGAGATTTCCAGGCAGTCCAGTGGCTTTGGCAGCGTTCACGAGGAATTTTCCAATCGCATTCTTACTGAGAGGACTGTTAAAGTACCACATTAGGAATCCTAGCTTTCTCTTATGGTTGATAGCCAAAAAACAGCATTCATTATGACATGCATTCTGAGAATAAAAAGGCAGAAAGAAAAAACAAAATCGAAAAATAACAGATAAGTCAGAAACAGGCTTTAATTTCAGTACAAATAGACACAAGCATGCATTTTATCCATTTTTATGCTGGAAGATACGTTAAATAAGTGATTGTATTGATACAACTATGGGAATAGCTATTTAACTTTGGTCATGGAAAACTCAGAAAAGTCATGGAAAAGGTCATGGAAAGTCATGGAATTTTGAAAGATGAAAAGAGTAAGAACTTTGTAGAAGGACATGCAGGGTCAGGCATTCTACCACACCTGTCATCTGTTCTTCTGTGAAAGTGCTAGGGGTCAGTTGAGATATATCACTTTCACTGAGGGTCTCACCTCTAAATCGTCAATTCTTCTAGGCAGGCTTCTGGCAAACAGCTTGTGCATTGTGGCTTCATCAAGCATTTGAATGACTTCCTAAAAGAGCATTATGGAGGTAATCACCAATGAAGCAAAGTATTTTGTGCCAGCAAAATTAAGTGTTGTAATTGATTTATTTTAGCTAGGGCCAACAACTGTCCCAAAGAAGTTTGACAGCTTGTTAGCAGGTACAGAGTTTTTGCCAAGTGGGCATTGAAATATAAAAATTTAAGTGTTGGAACAAAGCAAATCTTGCCTTGCTAAACTTAATGCATTTGAATTGGTGGTGTTCAAGCTTTGATTTTTGTGTTTATTCCATATTTAGGTATATTTTTGTTCCTGGAATAATAATAAATAAATGAAAATATATTTCTATTCAAGCAGATCTTCACATCTCTATTTTCTTTTATCCTGCCCTGCTCCTCACTTGGCCTGTTGTTAGTCTGGTATGGCTGTGTTCTTCAGGCAACAAATGAAGTTGTACTTGCACCAGCCTTGATAAGAAAAAAACAGTGATGTCGAAGCTGTTGTACAATGTATATGAAAAATCAAGCTCTCCTAGAAACCTTTTCATCTCAAGAGAAGGACAATTCAAACTGCAAAAACTCGAAACTGCTTGGTGAAATGTTTGGCCTAAATGAAAGAGACATGCTGTAAACATGAATATGAAGACTTGAACACAAACAGAACCAAAAATAGCCAGAAATCTAATTGTTCCATTTGTGTGCAGCCTTCAATGCCTACTTACAAACAATGTTACATCAAAGTGCATAAATAAGGAGTCTCACCTTGTGTGGACTCAGATTTGCTGTCAAACCACATGTGCACTCAGTTTCGCATCTTGCAAGGACAGCCACAATTTGCATTTGTTTTCCGCCGTGGAACAAGTGCTTTCACACGAACAGGAGATGCGATTTTCCTAAGAGGATAACAAGAGGTACAAAAAGAAAGTAGATGTTGCGTCACAGCATATTCCCAGAAACTATGAAACAATTCACACATTCAAATCTGTCACATAGTGGAGTCAATGGCAACTCACCACTGTAGTCTCTCTTGCCTCTTCTCCGTCCATAATTTAGCCTCTGCAATAAAATAAATAGATTGACGAAAAGAAATTCACACATGTGACAAAAGACGTAATAATTTTAACCAAGAAGGGCTAAATTCGCACAAAATTTCACAACTCTGATAAATTCAAGATGGCGGATGCATTTCAATCTCAGTGAGAAGGGAGCCAAATCTCACATATGGGTGGGTTGTGACATGGCTCCTTTAAAATCTTGTGAATATTTTAATGGGCGAAATCACAAGGTTTTCATGCACTTTTAACAGGTTTTTCATGGTGTTAATTCCAGGGTTTTCATGGGAAAAATCCCAGGGAGAAAAGCATTTAAAATCCCATGAAAATCCTCTAAAAAATTCCCAATTAAGGGCCCATGAAATTTCCATTCTGAAATAAGAAACATTAAAAATCCATGAAAATGCCATTAAACTTGATTGGGGCATGAACTGTAGTTAAATGGGATTTCATGGTATGGGTACACAAACCAGGAAACTCACCACCATATTTTCATGGTGTTTACTTCATGGGATTTTAATGGCATGATCCATGAAAACCCCATTACCAGGGAATTTTTAATGGCCCATGAAAATGTCCTCACTAATTAAAATGTGTCAACCCTTGAGTTGAACAGTAACAATTTTTGCGGCAACTGATCTTATCTGTGAAATCGTGTTTCGCCTCTTTTGTTTATCCCTTACGTCTTGCAATTTCTTGTACAGAAATCTATGCTTTTGCTTGATTGTTTTCGTCTCCTAAGTGACAGACATTTGAATGCAAGGGCAAATCGCAAGTGAATGTTTGGTTGATGCCCTGCTCTAGCTTCTTCTCGCACAGAAGTTGATTGCCGCGGAATTACCGGCGAATTTAATCGCTGATATCTGACAAGGCAACCTCTCCAAACGCTTCGTTCCTCTGCTTCGAAGAGTGTTTTTCCACATTCTAGTAAAAGAAACAGCCTGATGAATTAAGCGTTTAGTTTTTTTTAAAATGTGTAAATATCTGCACTCGACTGAGTAGGCTTGTTCAAGGCTATTCCGCTGTCATTCCTCTTTTTCCCCTTTTTCTTCTTTACCATTTATCTGCTGATTCATTGTATAAGCTGCTGAATGTTTCATGGCGAAGCATTTCTGTAGCCCGCTGGGGAGTTCAAAGCTGTGTTTTATTGGTTGGCGGCATGGCCATGTTGACAACCGCTTCAGTGAGGTGTGAAAACTGTGAATTTCTTTCGAGGTTGAAAACTCGATATTTATTTTGGTGTGAACTAGCTCTATTCAAGTGAATTAATGGGTATGTAGATTTATCAGGTTTTAACGAAACTTGGCCAAAATCTTTTGCAGATATTATTGCACTTAAGTCTGTGAGGCTTTTGCAAAAATCAAAATATTTGTCCTGTGACGTCTCATTGAGTAACAGCAGTCAGAAAATTTTCCATTGTCCAACCTTAAAAGAAATTTCCTAAGCAGCCAGTAGAAATATCAAAAAAGCCTCACATACTTTGTTAGCCCATGAACTCCTGATGTGTGGATGTCTGCCGTAACACAAAGGCTGGTAATTCAGTTTAGTAAGTATGCTCATTTTTGCATTTAAAGGCTTGCACATGCCTATCAAAACAAAAATAGCAAACTATATTGCTATTTTCAGATTCTACAGTTTATTACCTTTACAATGATAATTATATAGTTTACTGTGGTTTTGTTTAAAGCAGCGCATAAAGAAAGCATTTTCTGGAAGGCACCCCTGAAGATCTACAGTAACCTTAAGCAACCCTCAATTTTCAAAGCTCAAAGTAGTCTTCGTGTGTGTGCGTTCTTTGTGTACTCTTGCATGTCTTTTTGTTCTATTCTCTTCGTATTTGACCCAAATAAATAATTGCTTTAAATCATCAGGGATGGCTGCCCAGTCTTATTAGCCCATTAAAGTTATTTCAGGCAGCCATGTACTCTTTATTTTAACTATTTTTTGTTCATTTAATCTCTAGCTGAGTACAAATAAAGTTGTTGTTGTTGTTGTTGTAGTGTTCAAAGTAGTGCTGATGAAGTTGGTGGAATGCCAAAGATTGAACATACATGATTGTGATTCCATAGTTTTGCAGTGCTCTGAGTTTCTTGATCTGGCAATTAAGGTGGAGACATCAACCTTCAAAGAATTCATCTTCAAGGGAGACAAGCTGGGTATATTTCTGTAGAAACACATTGGTTCTGTTAGTTCACTGTCTAAATTATGGAATCTGCTGAGAGAACTCTTGATTCTTTCCCATGGTCAAGCAACTGTCGAGGAAGGTTTTTCAGTAAACTGGCATGTCATGATCAAAAACATGAAAGAACAAACTTTCACTGCACAGCATGAAATTTATGGCCACAATCAGAGCATTGGAGGGTTAGTGCAGGGAGACAACGTTACTTTGCCTCTCTTGAAGAGCAGAAGAAAGAGCAACAGCAAGCACCTCAAAACAGGAAGCTAAAAATAGTTCTTGAGGAAAAAGCTGAGTTAGAGAAAAAGAGAAAGTGCCTTGCCAGTATATCAGTGCCTTGCAACTTGATGCAGACTCTCTAGCAAAAGAAGCTGAGGAAAAGGCCAAGCTTGTACTCCTCCTCAAGTCTAATGCGCTGAGAAAAGCAGCAAAAGAAAAGGAGAGTGCCCTAGAGAAAATTGAAGATGAACTTAGAGAGATGGCCAAGAAGAGTGCTAACTTGTGAAGCTGCAGTTATCTTCTATGTAAAGGGAAAGAACTGACTCATGGCAGTTCTTGAGAATTTCTTACATTTTGGTTGAACTGGGTCATAATTTGAAAAACTACATATTTGAATAAATGATTGTTTTGACATTACTGTCGGAGAACAATTGCTTAACTTAGGTCATGGAATTTTTCAAAAGGTCATGGAAAAAGTCATGGAAATTTAACAGGTCAAAAGTGCACAAACCCTGCGCTCTGAACAGGTTCAGCAATAACAGTTAATTATTAACCCTTTTGTAACACAGTGTAAGATCAAAGACTGCTCATAGCACAATGTTCAGACAGTCAATGCATCAATCTAGAATAATCTACCTAGCTTTAAAACGACATTGCTGAACAATGTTAAAGGCACCTGAGCTGAGCTTTTTTAAGTAAAATGCCCTCGAAGGGTCCGCTTATTGCAGGTTTTGTGCAACAAAATGGCTTAATATTGGTGTCTGGGTCCGCCTAACAGAGGTGTCCACTGAATGCAGGTTTATTTCACAGTAACTGTGGGAAGAAAATTTAGGGACTCAAGCTGGTGTCCACTTCATAGAGGGTGTCCCCTTAATATGGGGTGCGCTTAATACAGGTTTCACTGTATTATTACAATCCGAGTGATCTTGGATTACTGATCCTGATCCAGATCACCTCAAATTAAAAATGCAGTCGATTCTCCCGTAAGTGACTACCAAAAATGTAAAGCCTAGACGATCGCTTATGGGAGGTGGTCACTTAAGAGAGCGTAGACCATATTGGGTCAAAATGTTGCCTCATTAGCATATAGTAACTGCAGAGACTTACCCCATGTGTTGAATGTTTTATTTATGTGAAAAGTCAATTTCAAGATAAACTCTGGTACTTCCCATTGAGAAACTTCTGTCTCTGGTACTACCCAGGAATACAATAACGTTACAACACCATATTATCAAAATTTCCACTCTATTCTCTGCCAAGTGGTCACTTACGGGAGGATAAAAAAAAAGAAAATTTGAAACTTTTAGCTCTAAAAGTGGTCGCGGTTGCTTACGAGAGGTGGTTGCTTACAAGAGGTTCCAAATATAGTGGTTTGACTGGGAAACTTTTGGTATTTTGGGAAACTGGTCGCTTAGGAGAGGCAGTTGCTTACGAGAGGTGGTCGTAACCGGAGGTTTGACTGTAGCAACAAAAAGCAAAAAAAATAGAGCACATGATGGCATGAGACCCACATAATTAACCACTGAACAGTGAGTTTTGCAAAATTGAAAATGTGGCACTACAAACAAGTAGTAATATTGTCTGTAATACATAAAATGCCAGGTCAAAAGCTCAGAATTATCAAAAAATACAAAATAAAGAGACTCCACCAAACTACAACGACTTGCCAACATTAACCTTCTGTTGCACTTGTAAAAATATATATCGTGTTTTTTGTCCAGTATCCAAAGAAGCAGCCCACAGCAGATTAAAACCACCTGGAACATCTTGTTTCTGTTCAAAATTTATTTTATTAGGTAAATTTGAAGGTTTCCCTAATATGGCATACATATGTAAGCTTATTGACATTTTTTGGAAGTTGGAATGACTACTGTGTATTTCCTGTCAGATCTCACAGATTATGATGGAATGCGGACAGTATCTGATTCATAACTCATGTTTGTGAATTTCCCTAAGCTTTTCAACCATGTTGATGATGTAGTTTTGTTTGTGAATGCGTACTTCAAGCTTTTCTCCTTCAGTAACTAGAACAAAAACACAGCAACATGTGATTAAAATCAACAGATAAGTTTTTTCAGTTTCGCCACTGAACGCTACATGTAAATTAAAAGCAATTACATATATTGCTCATAAAAGAAACACGATTTCAGATTTAGTTCTTTGACAAGCTTTCAATTCTTTTTGGTGTAAGTTATGATTGTAATACATACAATGTAAAACCTGAACTGGACTAAAAGAAAACTAAGACAAAGACCCGAAATTGGCCACAGCATACTAGTATTTGATTGATTTTATTAGTGATAAAATTATATCTTTATGTACAGTACTGATCATCAAAAACACTATATAAAGTCTTAATCTAGAAGGGTTGCGATTCTTTATACTAACGTGACAATTGTTTATAATATCTCAGAATATCATCATGTCCTTCCATGATCACACTTTCAATTGTATGACCGTTGAAAATAAGCGCACATTTCTCAGAGCATTGCATCATGGATAAATAGTTGTAGCCTTATCATGTCCACAATGCCAGTATTTATAATTGTACAATGAGGATTTTAATAGGTACTAGTTGTACCTATCTATAAATGCCAACAAGCAAATGAAGCATTGTTGATAAGGATAATGGTGGTTTAGCAAGTATTTTTTAGACACATGTAGATCTACTGAATTGTTGCCAAAGAAAGGACAGATGTGGAATGGTTTTTGGTAGAATTTAATCTATATTTGTTTGAAATGTTTGAAATTTGAGAAATTGTAAATTAGGTGATTTATGTAGACTGTTCACAACCCTCTATTTTCTTGTATTTTTATTCCATCGTTGAATGCGCGGATAGAGTTGGGAGATAACTGGACGCCAGTGCAAAATGGAAGACTTTACTTGACTTATTGCTCGCTTCGCTCGCAAACCCCACACCCCACCCCACATTCTTTTGTGCTCACTTCACTCACTTTTCCTTTCGCGTGTGTAAATAGAAGCTGTGAACAGTCTAATTTTGAGAAGGAAGCTTTATTTTGTTATAATTTATAAGTACAGCACAACTTTCTTGTCGTAGCTATTTGTTCAGATATTCCAAGCGATTCTAAATAATGTTTTGATTTTGTAGTGGATGAATTCTCTTATCTGCGGCACACTACAAGTATTAACTCTCAATCTCAATGCATGGGTGTGTTAAAAAAAAACAGATACTGGCAGTCAAAAATTTTAAACCATGAAGTGGTACTTGACTATTATGAATGTTTTGTTTTTTCTACTTTAAACACACTTTGTTTAAAAAAAGTGGCTGTCGAATATCAAATAAGCTGCATTTTAGCATTGAGTACTCTCAGCGCTGGTTTCAATTGTGATTTTTGAAGATATTATTTTATAAGAGTTGACTCTGGAGTCAGAGCACAAAAATTTTCTGTGTTGAAGCCTGGAGATCTTATGGTATGCCCAAGCTCATAAAAAGCTGAAATAATAGTTGGAATCGCTTGAATTGCTAAACAAAGATCTACTGTACAGTTGTAAGAAGAATTAAATGAGTTATTGCATGGAATTTCTATATTAATTTCAGACTGCCCGATAGGCTAGTTTTTTGAAAACACTTCCCGGCTGCCAGGTACATGTATCAAGACACAATGTCATTAATATTAATTTTGTTTTGCTTGAAGTTTTCAGAACTCTACCCACAAAGTGCACTCAAAGATTCGATTTGAGCTACTTTGACTCTGTCAACACGTTGGTTGCAATTGACAATGTAAGAGCACTTTCGCTTGGATAAACAACACACTTGAGTTGATTCCAGAAAACAACTTGAGTCTTGATAAGCCTATCAATTATGCGATTCAAACATAAGAAAAGTTTCATACACCTTAAACAAAATTTTTCAGTTAAATAAACTGAAATAAATGATGGACCCCCGCTAAAAGACTAAACACTGAAAAACAACATGGAATGATCTTGTTCAACATTTTGAAGCCTTTTGACATCCCAAAGGAAAATACTGTTCTGATTGGCTTGTCCCAAATATCAACAACATCCGACTACATTCTGACATGGCCAAAAATATCTCATGGCACTGGAAATGATCACTTATGCAAAATCAAGCTGAGAAAATCTGAGAATTTTTCTGGGTAACCTGCCGCAAACCCTCACACTACATATGGCGCTATATACCTGCCGTCTTGTCAGACTCACCTTTTTGCTCGTCTGACTCGGCAATCAGTGATAAGATAATATTTTTAAGAGTATGATGAAAAGACCCGACTCGCGTACTGTAGAGATCAGTGGAAAACAAATGAGAGCATTTCTTTTATTATTACTTCTTTGAGTACACCCTAAAGGATACTTTGACAGCTAAGAATGGTGATGTTTCGTCATCAATACCCTATGTGAGACTAGAATCCTTGATGTGTATCTGAGACGACAAGCATCCCAGACCTTTTCACATAGGAGTCCCCCCATGTTTTGAACATCGTGCAATCCAAGGCCAATTTTACAGTCAACTGCACCATGTCAAGTTATACTAGTTATTGTTGGAATTTCTGATGCAAGTACTCAATATCTTACTGCAGAAATTATCTACATTGAATAGATTTTCACACAAACGTTTTTATAGATGGAAGGTAATTAATTATATAAATAGCTCATTTCATGAAGGTGTCTGCCTGTAGAGGGTTAACCATACTCGATTGCCGAAAACTGAGGAGATATTGAAAATCACAAAATTGATGAGCTGTATAAATTTTTGAATTATGATTTAAGCTGTGATTAAAAGTTTTGGATGATCAACAGACAAGAGAATTGAGGAGAATTTGAATGACGCATTTCACTATTACTTATACAGTATTGTAAATAAATACTTCAAAGATGAATACAGACATGGCAAAATGATTTGAACAAAATAGGTAATAAATAGAAACAAAGACATTACACAAGACTGGGAGTTCAGCAGTCAGTATTATCATCTTGGAAAGGGAAGAAAATAAAAAGAAAAAAGAAAAAAAGAAATTATTACAACATGGGGTATTTGGATTTGCTCACCCATCCAAGCAGGAACCCCACCGAACAGGGCTTAACATTGTTGAACAACCATCACATTAAGATAGGAGGATATTCCATTTATTACAAAAAATGGCATGATGCTGCATTAACTAAAATTGAAGACTTTTTTCAAGGTAACAGATTCCTAACTTTTGAGGAATTCTGCAGCAAGTTCAAATTTAACACAAACTTCTTAAACTATTGCAGTCTATGCCACGCAGTCCCTCAAATATGGATCAATATTCTCAAAGGAAATATTGTTGA